CCAGTTGCAGAAGATTTGACCGAAGTTGAGGCGTGTTCCAAAATTCGGCTCACCAAATGTAGCGTGGTGTCGAGTTGAGCTGAACTATGAACACCGCTACCAGACTACTTGCCAATAGACCAATAAAATTCCGATAGGCCAAAATATCAGAAGGCAGATGATTGTAGTAGTCGTATATATTTGTTGGCGATCTCGTGGTATCGAAAGAATACCGAGATCGTGCCAAAGGAGTACAAGCGTGGTTACTGAGCGTAACCGGATTCGTACAAGTTCGAAGTCAACCGGAGAGTAAGTATAATGGCTGTCATTAGCACAGTTAAACAAACGAGCACAGTAAAACAGTCACTGGTACAATTGGTTGTAATAATAATTGTTTTCATCGATCCAATCGCGTTCTGTTGACAAAAGTAGGTCACTACACACTTTTGAAAAGTCAGATGAATACAATGAACTGCCATTCTTAGACTGTTTAGTTGAAAAGAATTTTGATAAAAGTTTAGATTTAGAAATATACCAAAAAGCGATACATTCAAACCGATTTATTGATTTTAACTCGGCATATCCATATAGTACAAAAGTTTGCCTAGCCTTAAGTTGCTCCAGAAGAGCAACCAAAATCATTACCTCTGAGAAAGATAAGGTGAAAGAAAAAGGAAAATTAACAAACATCTTACGTTCTAATAACTTCCGAAGAAATATTTTTCAGAAAGTATTGGAACAAAGCTGTTCAGTGGGGGAACGGTAACGCGTCTGAAAAAAGATCAGAAGACTGAGTGCTCAAAACTCCTCGGGCACACCAGATAATTGTGGTGAACCAGATATTATATTAACTCAAAAATGACAATAAGCTTATCACGTCCAAAACCTAATGTTTTAATATATTGAATGTAATTTATAAACCCGAGGAAAAGTTACGGGCCGTTACTAAAATTGGCGGGCCTTAGTATAATAATCCACATTTATGGGTGATCAGTAATTCTAATAAAGATTGTTATAACTCCAGCGGGATGTCCAGAGGAGATATTTAATGGGAACACGGCTTTCACCTATAAATGTAGATAAATATTTTATAGTTGAATCACCGTAACAACAGACAATTGAGAACAAGAGACGTGTGTCTGTAGCAGTGTATTTGCGGGCACTTATCAGTGCTTCGTTCCCTGTGGTACTCAAGATGAAAGAGAAAGTATTCAAGGTCATGAAATTTTGAATGATTTTGACATTCATTGGTAGTAAATGTACAAATTATGAGAATTAACAAAGGAAATATAAATAATTCCAAAAAATAATTAAAAATAAGGTTGTCGTTATCCTCTCCACAAAATAACAGTCTTAATGATATTTCTTGGGTTAGTTTCCTTGAGTTACTTTACCGTCGATGTGAAACAAAGAAATACAACGAAAATTGAAAATTGATAAGACTAAAGCTTTCTATAAGACAACTAATAATTTAAAAAACGATTTATTGTGAATAGAAGATACGATCTAGTTCACTTCCACACAAAATTGTGTCTAAGGATTAGGCCGTGTCGATTGTGATGAAGTCTTCCCGTGAGATGTCAACTCGTGACAAGGAACACTTAAGTTAAACAAAAAGTTCTAGTAAACCCGTGAAATTGGAAATTTTACAGAATAAATCATCCACAGCAAAACACTCTATTTTCAATATTTACCGAATTGATGATTAAAAAATCAAAATAACTCAAAAAGGCTTTTCTAACTATAAATGGAGGCGAGTAGCCGAATCGTTTCACACAATGCTAAATCGCTCTGCCAGTAATAGAAAAGAGGGTCTTAATATTCATCAAACCTGGTCTGTTTTTCCAAACAACCTCATTCGACTTCACTTTTTATTATTTTTAAAGACACGCACGGATACATAATCTCAACCCACTAATTCATGTCACAAATGCTCATAATTTTCATGCCTACAATCCGACACACAAATCAATACAGTGACAGGCCACACAAATTCACCTTGACCGAAATTACTCGACATTGTTTTCTCTGTACTATTTAAACTTGTGTTAAATTGATTTCGGTTATGTATTATGTCTGAAGAAGTGGCTTAGATTGAATGTGAATCATCAGAAATACAATTCTTCTACTTATTTGGATATAGCAAAAGTATATTTATTATTAACTCCCTACCCAATGCCTAATTTACTCTTTGTTCTCTCAATACATTTTGACCTAAATAGGATCAGGGGCATTCATTTTGTCTGCAACTTTTGTTCTTGGTCTCTTTCTCGTAATTACGCTTTTTATTCCCTAATGTGATCCTGTTTTATTTTATCACTGGATTACAAGGACTGTATCACTGAGTGACCGTTGTTTATGACTGCTAATGTTTGGCAGGTTGATTCGAATAGGCCTAGGAGTTGCAAGACTCCTTTTTCTGCGGAGATAGATGTGAGTTGCGGTTGAAAGTATCGATTGTCTATTTTCTGAGTTCATTGACTGAAATATCTACTATGACGTACTCTTAGTTGACAGGGCCACCGCTTGTTCTCTAACAAGCACATATTTTTAAGTCCTTTGGATATTTATTTATTTGACGTACTTTAGATTTCATCACTAAACCGTTTTGGATTGGTTTTTCATTTAATGTGCTTATCTACTTCTCGCGATTTGTAGTTGTAATTAATATGATTAGAACAGTGCCTAACCCGAAACTAGTGTCCTAAATTTATCGGCTAGTAAGAGCTTGTATTCAACGTTTCACTGGTGGTTATACTATCTAAGAGCCTTTAAACCGTGTACGATTGTGTCGTGTTCACTTGCAGGAAAAGGAACATAATCAAATTTATATGTTTGTTTTATTAGTTCAATCTCAATGGTACAATAATCGGAGGCTTATGAGCAATCATAATAGTTCAGTGACTCCGTGGTCTGTCCCGCTCCAACTTGGTGACCAGACTGACTCGATCTCTTATTACTCCTAGGGAGCTGATAAAATATTGAAAAATCTATTCGAGATGACAATCTACAGAGAAGTCATTTACGAGAGGCTAGTGACCTGCCATATGTACCGCAAGTATTTCTCTTCGTGGTCACTTCAAACTAACCACCCTGGACTTCTAATTTACTGAACTATTGAACATTATGCATTCAGCATTTTAAGTTCAAATAACACTCAGTTTGACGGATAACTTGGTCAGAGCTTAGAACCATTTAGCTGACGCTGCAGATTTTTCCAAACCTTTATGATATGAGGAGTGTTAAATCTAATCTACGTTTATCCTGGGTAACAAAAATAAAATTTGATGGATCTAAAGCCCAAAATAAAGTAAAAATCGAGAGAATTTCCAATGCATTCGCGAGCGCCATATCCCTTTTACACGACAGCCAAGTGATTGATTTCATTACAAACCTTCAAGATCACTATCAGAACCTAAAACAAAACTCAAAAGCTCGAACGAGTCAGGGTTAGTAATTACACAGATCAATAAACCATGGTTGAATACTCTGAATAAAAGTGAACTCAATTAAAAACGAATACTTTTTAGAAGAACGTGAAGGAGAAATAGGCAGGTTGCTCAGAAATACACTACAATTTACCATGAGGATAAAGACTTTGTGATCAGAAATCCGAGTTATTTTATCAATTATTTTATGCACTCCAAAGGTTTAATAAACCTCAGATTTAATTAGCTAACACCCCTATGACAAAACCAGTAACCATGCGAGAAAGCTTTGCTGAGTTGAAAACTATGATCGTTATAATTGAACTCACTAACATTACTAGATTAGTGATGACAATTCAAAACAACCTAATGACCATTGTTTGGCTGACTAATCTAGACGATCTTACACCGAAGCCGCATCGGTATACATCGTATTCCTACCTGTCGTGCCAATTAGGTTTTGATTCTAACGAAGAACGTTTGAATAACAATTGTAACCTTATCAGCATAATGAAATATTTGTTATGAAGACGAAGGAGGCCCGTAGATGTGCAACTCCCACATTGTTAGGTCAATAGTTATCTCACACCAACCTTCCTCGAACCCATTCACTTCTAACCAACTATTCAACATCCAGTAGATAATCTTCCACGGTCGGCATGTTCATCACAAAGGATTATTTGAATAAAGATGAATGCTCTTCCACTGTCACTAAAACTTGAAAAAAACAGAAACTAAGTGGATCTCTGGAATCTCCAAACATTCATATAGCTATGGATCAACTAATCATAATTTCTTCTCATCGTCATGTGGAAAGACACGATAGAACCTAGCCACTATTTTAATAATGATTTCAAATTGATATGCTCCCGTTGTTATACATTTCAAACTTTTTTCTCCACGACTAATAGGCTATATATATGGTTCTAAATAGCGTCCACTCTCTGCATCAACACGTAGTAACGAATTTTTTGTACACCCAACCAAAGGACAACAAATACTTCGGTGGATAGGTTCAAGGAACGTTTGTGCAACCAAGTACTCACCCACGAATTACCATCCACTGTTTGAATTGGTTGTACCTAGCGCATGTCCTACAACTTATTTGCTATTATTATTAGTCCGTACCTAAAGACTGCTTCGATCCGTCTCGCATATCGACTGTGTTCACCGGTTATTCCCATGCTTCTGTTCATCCAAACTATGTAACTAACCAATAGAATAAGTTATTTATTTACTTATGGCCTTTTTTCTTCTCCTTACTCTTGTGCATTTGAATCCTTTCATTATTTTTTATGCTGCAACTGACCAACCTCCTCCCTGGAAATGTGATTGCTGCTGGTCCCAGAAACCTTATTGCCTTGAGATAAGCGCACACACTCAGGTTCATAAACACACAAACATTCAAAAATAACCAAACAGACCAGAACCAATACATTCGTGTGGTTAGACAACCTCCGTTTGACGACACTAAAGATCTGGACCATTACAAAGACGAAAACAGGTGAGAGCAAACATATCGTCTGGTTTACACTAGCCCGTCAAAAAGCTTTTGGGTAATGGAAACTTCTCAGTTTTTTCTGTTTTTCTAGCTACAGAGCTAAGGTCATTTCTTAAAATAACCCAATGTTCAAGGCTTTTGGTTCAGCCATCAAACAATGACTCCCAGTTGAAATATTTTTTGATTAGTCGTGTTTTCTACCCATTGTGTTCCGCATTTCTATCTTCCATCATAAACATCAGTACAGAGAGAGTTAACGGGTGTTTGGTCCTTGGGTAGTTCGTTCAGAGCTTCTGTACGTGAATGGCTGTGACGCCTTTCTTCAATTTACGCAACTTAGTCCTGAACAAGTGCAATAATTTTTTACTTCCTGGTGAGTTCGATGTAAAACCAAATACGTATTTCACCACTTTATTTCTAATTATTACATACAACAGACATGAGTTATCACTTATTTGAGCCCCATCAAACATACGTGTGTTGCGTACCACATGGTATGCTTTGACTACATAACCATGGTGGCTGTTATTTGCACAAGACATCCTTATGATTATTTCACGGTAGCTATCCTTTCAAAACATACTTTATTAGTCATTTGATTGAATAATCTGGTTTGTTGTGAACAAATCATACATACTCAAAGCAAAATATAATTATTATATTTTGCTCTAAGTTTTGTTTCGTTCAGTATTGAAAAGTGTTTTTGGTAAGGAAAAAATAATGATCGCAATCGGCATACGCTTTTGAAAGCCTTTCTATATGGTCCAAGAGAGCTATATGGCTGTGAAATACCATGTAGAACAAGTGATATTTATTCTTCGTCTCAAATGAATTTCTTTACTCAAAGTTGACGTGTTTAAATATGTTGCAGCTAATTTGAGTGTGGTTGATTGGCATCTAATCCCTAGTGAAATAAACTATAATATCTAGGGATTTATTTTGTTTTGAGGTAACTGGAGTGTATTTGATCAAATGTTAGCTTATCTGTTATCCAATAGTTCTTATCAAAAGTTAATCTTATTCAGATAATCCTATTCACCTTTATTCTCTAGTGATTGGTTAAAAAATCAAACATGGAAAGCGATCTCGGTCCATTACACTAATAAGCTTCAAAGATTTTTGTCAAGCAGAGGTAATAGGCTTTGTGTGAACTTATTCTAACACCACTCTACAAAATACACCATATGTATATTGAAGCAAAAGAGCATCATAAGATCTTATGTTGGCGGCAGACTAGGCTTCACATGTACTGCATATTTAGAACAGTTAGTTTGTATATTACGTGGTTTGTCGGTAAGTAGATAAGTAACCTAAAGCGATTAGTCTTCAGATATTGTGATTGTCACGCGTAAGTACTTTACTCAATACTCTTTAGTTTTGAGAACTGTTTGAGTAGAGACTAAAATATTAATTTCATGACTAAGTAGCTGTGGTTTATATTCTGATTATCTCATGATTAGTTCATATCTTGTTATTTCGTTTCATTTGCCGTCCCATTCTACTTTTTTTGACATCTCTTGCTGCTACTGTCTTGTTGAACCGTTACCCTTTGGCAGATTTTCCCTGAAAGTAACTTTGGTAACTCAGTTTTGTTACGATTTTCAGGTTGTCCAGTCTATATCTCTTCTTTCCTATGTGTGGTAGTTCGGGTAACAAACTGAGGGGACTTCTAGTTACGACTCCTTACGAAACAAATTTTTGTGCTTCCGATATTTGCGCTGACTATGTCCTCTACTCGATTGTACAAATAATTGTGTATGATTCATTACAAAGGTCTCAATTCAGATGCGAAATTTATGGATTGAATTCATCGACCTACTTTAAAGCTATATGGATACCTTACCTAGCTGTGATGTACACTTAAATTTTGTTCTGTAACTTTAATTAGTTATACCATGCTGGATTCTTGATCTGTAGTCTGAAATTTCTGTATCCTTAGGTTCCCTATGGCTTTATAGA